GGACTGCAGCCCAAATCAGGGTCCAAGACAGTATGAACTATATGAGTTCCTACTCACATAGTGAGTATGGGAGTATGTGTCACAGAGCAACATTCCATTTCAACTCACAATGGCACTAAGCTCAGAATTGGCAGCTGAAACTAAAAAATTGAAAATAAGTATTTCATAGAGTTACCCCTACGGAGTTAATTTCCCCATGGGAGTTAGTAGGTGATTTGCAGTGTTGATAACTCCTGTGATTTTATGATGAGTCATATGATAGCTGACATTTTTTCTTTAAGATGAAGCTCCTGGATTCCAGTGATTTATTTTCTTTTGATCTTTCAATTTTTATAAGTTAGGCAGTAATTCCAACCCTCCTGCTTACGGCCAAAGTTTCAAAACATGACTGAAATGCACTCTAGGAGTCCGGGCAGCAACGGCAAATAAGGGAGAACATCGCAGTTGTTCTTTGGTTGAGTTTTGGCTTGGGTTTTTTTCCTTCCTGTAATTCCATGATCTCTCTGGTTAGTCTTGTGATTTTGTAATTCATGTTTTTTTAGTCTTTGGGATTGATTATGGTTTGGTCTTTTCTTCCTTCTGGGCTGAAGATAACCAATATAATTAAGAATTACCATCAGAATATATCCAGGTCATAAAAGCAAAGCTTGGATCACACATTTTCCTTGACTCCTCTCCTGCAGTTGATTCATCAATTGTTGTAAGGCAAAGAATATGCTTTTGCATCACTCCCTCTCCACTTTCAGGATGCAAGCAGTGTCCTCATCACCATCAAAGTTCTGCTGAGGTTATGGATCATGTACTATGGGTGGCAGTCAAAATAGAAAAAAATGCTGTCTTCAATACTTCTTCCTGGCAAAGTCTGAGATCTTTGTGTTGAATGAGAAGGTAATACAGTTTGGACATTCTTAATAGCTGCTACTGTGCTTTCCAACCATTGAGACATGTTGTTGTGGAGCTGTGCTCTTTGGGACAACAAGGACAGTCTCCTTCAAGGCTATCTGATAAAGGCATCCTTCTTTTTGCAGATTTCCATGATGTAGTGGAGTGAAGTCTTAAATTCAAGTCTCTCCCATCAGCTGGAATTATTTCAAAGCAGCTGAGTCATTGAGTTCCTATCCCAGCACCTCCCCCTGCATTTTTTTATATATATATTTTTTTTAATGGCACGGATTTATCTGCTTAGTAGTGCTGTTTTATATGTATACATGTGCCAGAGGCACTGGATGACAGAACAGAAATGAAATAACTGTATTTTACAAGATAAGACTAAGATAAATTGGCTGCTGTTTCTGAAATGCATCTGAAGGCATAAATAAAGTTTTCCAGGATAGACATTCCCAAAAAGACAGCATGTTTGTTTGGGCTTCATTTAAATTACATTGGCTTTTGAGAGTTCTGTAATTATGCTAAAAAAATAAGAGAAACGTAGACTATAGCCTGACACCTCAGTGGAAGTTACACATCTATAAACAACAGAAACAAAGTGAACAACTTCAGGACAGTCAGTAGACTTTGGGTGAGATGTACTGTTTATAAGATCCTGAGAAATCATAAAAAAGACATGAGACATAGAGTAACAGTGTTGTCCTGCAAGCCTGGGTCTACTAAAACCCATGAAGTTGAATTTCTTATGCGGCTGCTCTTGTATCTCTTCCATAATATCCATCCCACATGTTGACTTGCACATTCCGTGCATTTTAACCACAGTGACTGATCTATGCTGAACTGATTGGTTGAAAGCTTCATAGCCAAGAAACCACAGTCTTTTATTTGAAGTCCTCTCTGTAGACAAGGTGGCAAGGAAAGCTAGAATTAGGCTTCCTGTAGAAGTCAAAATAAGAAAATGAACATTAGAGAATACATGGCAGAACTCAAATTTAGGAGACAAGCACACATTTCAGGATGGCTTCCTTCAGATGTGCAAATCTGGGTTTTCCCTGTTGACTTTCCCATTATATCCACTCTGTTTTCTTTTTTTCTTTTTTCTTTTTTTTTTTTTTCCTTTTTTCCTTTTTTCTTTGTTTGGTTTTTTGGGGTTTTTGTGTGTGTGTGTGCGCACAGGGAAAGGATACTTCTGTCCACAGTGTTCAAGTGACTTTGGATCTCTGAATGGGAGAAAGAGAGCCACAAAGATGATTAAGGGAGTGGAACATCTCCCTTATGAGGAAAGGCTGAGGGAGCTGGGTCTCTTCAGCTTGGAGAAGAGGAGACTGAGGGGAGACCTCATCAATGTTTACAAATATGTAAAGGGCAAGTGTCTGGAGGACAGAGCCAGGCTTTTTACAGTGATGTCTAGTGATAGGACAAGGGGCAATGGGTACAAACTGGAACACAAGAGGTTCCATGTAAACATCAGAAAAAACTTCTTTACTCTGAGAGTGACAGAGCACTGGAACAGGCTTCCCAGAGAGGTTGTGGAGTCTCCTTTGCTGGAGACATTCAAAACCCACCTGGACAAATTCTTGTGTGTTGTGCTCTAGGTGATCTTGTTCTGTCAGAGGGGTTGGACTAGATGATCTTTTGCTGTCCCTTCCAACCCCTAAGATTCTGTGATTCTGTGAGAAAACGATGAGGAGTTGATTCATGGAGTGCGCAGCTGGACAGTCAAGAATTTTTAGAGATGGACACTTGAGTGGCTACAAGAAATGGAACAATCTTGCTCATTGTGAAACACTCATTGCTTGTGGACTCTTTAGGGGAATGAGTGAATACATTTCCCTAGGGAAGAACCCTACAAATTTGTTATTCTCCAGGCAGGATTTTTTTAGTTAGAAATAGGTCTGAATTCATGTGGCTTGGAAGGAGACCAATCTTTCCTGGATTTCTAAGTCCTCAGAGCCTAGCAGCAGCCTGTGATCAAAAGAGAATGATGTTGAGGTTCGTCTCTACCTCCAGATATCACCTCAGGCCCTCTGCAGAGGTTGATTTCAGCATCAATCTTACGGGAATTTCAGCATCAGTTTAGTAGGAGAAAGTAAAAACTGGCTTTAGTTTGGAACCTAGTGGATTATCACAGTGGGCAAGGCCAAGCAGTATTAATGAATACACTAGTGCCCGCAAGAGCAATTTGAGAGTATTAGGGAAGTAAACTGCAGTCTTAGTTTAAATGAGGTGCTAAAGTTTGTCTACCCATGCAATTTATCCAATACCTTGAACTGCCAGAGGAATGGAGAGGCACTGCAGTGTCAGCCTGTATCACCATAAATTTTGGAACAAAATTCAACTATAGTCAGTTCTGGAAGTCCTATAAACCCATTAGCTTTTGCCATTAATTTAACCTCCACAGTTATTAGCTGGGCCTAACTGTCCAGTCTTTTTCTAGTAATTGAATTAAGGCCTACCACTCTAACTTTGAGACTTAAGATTTATGACTTTGCAGTGGATTGCTGCATTCCAGATAGTTGTTTGTTGTGTTTTGTTCTTGTGTGTTGTTTTTTTTTTTTGTGTGTGGGTTTTTTGTTTTGTTTTGTTTTATTTGGTTTGTTGTTTTTTTTTAATCATGTTGCTTGGTTTGGAGATCCCTCCTTGGAAGAGATCCAACCATGTTTTCATATGTTTGTTCCAGTGGGTGAGTCTTAGCAGAACTTGGCATGGCTGAGGATAGCTCAGGACCAAGCCCTTCCTCTCAGCTAACAAAGTGCTTCAACCAGTTTACCTATGGATCTGCCTTCCTGTGGCTTTTGGTTCCAGTACTGCAGGCACTAGAGAGGACTGAGTCATGCCTGTGGCAGAGGCATCCATTGCCCGGTGACACATGGAGCTGTGTGAGCTCAGACCTGAAAGCAGTGTAGATGCAACTGAACTCTTTGTATTTTGAGCAGCAGATGTCTTCCCCCTGTGCTCAGTTGTAAGCCACTTGGCACCCTGCCACAGTTTTGCTGTGTGAACTTGGGTGAGTTACTTCATCACGCCTTTGGTATTTGTCTGTATTGTTCATGCAGGCTTTTAGGACCAAAGATTGTCTCTTGCTGGGTAGAGGGACAGTCCCTCATTATCAGGTTGGTTTGATCACTACTGGAACCTTGGTAAAGCTTTTAGTTTCTCTTCAACATATGGTAAATGAGAGGTACCATGCAGAGGAGAAGAGCAATTTGCCACAATGGTGATTATATTAACACATATTTTATAGAACACTAGATTCAAGACCTTTTGAGTTCTGACCACACCCACTTCAATGAGGCTTTGTATTTCTGTGTGGCTTCTGGAGTTGTTACAACTAATTAAGAACATGAAATGTTTACCTGGGGCTTAAAATTCATCCAGCCGGCTCATAATGTACTGCTAGCATGCTCCCAGTGAGTTCATCGTAAACCTCACCTCTGTGTGGGACCACTGAAATCACTGTGAGTTTTGCCCCAGATAACAATGGCAGTAAGATCAGAGAGCTTAGGTCAGTACGAGACTGTGCTAGTGATGAGAAGGACGTGCAATTTGGTTGAAGAAGGAAGATGTTTCTCTTAGTCCCTCACAATGGCTCAGAAATCAATTGAAAATGTTAGCAAGAGGCCTTTTTATTTCCTTCTGGAAAAGCATGTATATTTAATTCCTGTATTAAAATATTCTAATGGTAATAAATAGTTAAATTCTTGAAGGAAAAAATTGATTTCTCAGCTAATGGAGGAGGGGAAAATTATGAATCCCTGGTTGCCCATTACCAGTTGACTAGCAACATGTGGCCACAGAGAGCAATGTGAGCATAGTTTTAACATGCAGGTGGCTCTGCTATATGAAGCTCAGTATGTCCTTAAAGTGGTTCAACCTACTTTTCCAAATATATTACAAAGTGAGTCAGACTGAAACTGTTGTAGATAATCTGCTCCACTTCAGATAACTGCATATTCATTTTAGCGTTAGAAAAAAGTTTATGTTGGCATTTTCTGTTCCTTTTAGTCATGCTGGCTTTTCAAAATAGCTTTTGAACTAAAAATATGTTTCCTGAAATTCATACACTGGGACAAAAAAATACCTCTTCCTTTACTATTACCACACTGACACAGATGGCGAGTACTAAGACTCAGAACCAGTAAGCAAGTAATTCTTCAATGCTTAGGTGCAGAAATGTAGCTCTTAGGTCAAAGTAGACTTCTACAAGACAGGCTGTCACTGCTAGTTAGTTTGCGTTCAGATCCCCTTTACTTAGCCCAGGAAGACTCCAGTGGCAGATTATGTGAGCTGTACAGGTGCCCTGTTGCATTTCCAGCTTGAGTTTCACCCACAGCCTCTGGCAGGCCATCTAACTTAAGTTGAAATTCAGTTCTAGCTCTGTGTTTTTCTGTGTGGACAGTAATCAGATGAGGGGTGACACCTAGGTTATGCCTCAGGTTAGTAAAGACAAACTTTCAAAATTTATCATGACCCATGTCATAATGATGTCACCCACCTAACATGCATTCCTACTATGGCATCCACAGTTACTTTAGCACACAGACCATGATGCAATATACATCATGGTGGGACATGATATATGTATGATATAATAAAGCACATGGATGACTGCAGAGCATTTACTTCAGTGCAAGCTGGACTCAGAATAAGCTTGACTCTGCAGATTACAAAGCAACTTTTGCTCCCTCTGAAGTCTACAGAAGTTGTTTTCACTTTTCAAATTTCAAATTCTCTTTGATTAACCTTGTCTTTACAGTGTGGCACTTCCCTTGTAAAAAAAAATTGCTAGCTGTAAGAGATCAAAGATTTTACTAATTTAAGGTGGGAGGGAATGTTTTCTGCTAATGAAAACCTTATCTTCATAGTGAGCAATAACACAATTTGATAATCTACCCTTATTGAGTTTCCTTCTCTTTTTCTTTAAGTCGAAAGTACGTCACTTGTAGATGGAAATAAGGGATTGCAAATGCCGAACCTATGCAAATTTTGTGATGTTAAAGTAACAACCTGCTCAAACCAACATAAGTGCAAGAGCAACTGCAACATCACCGCTATCTGCGAGAAGAAAAATGAAGTCTGTGTCGCTATATGGTAAGTTATTTCTTTGTACAGGTGTGGAGGGGAGCACACCCTCATTCATCCTTAGTTTGTGCTTTTCTTGGTTGCTTTGATACTCAAAATGTCCCTGCTACCTCATCGGGCTTTGCTCTCTCACTTACAACTCATATGTGTGCTCAGCATACTGAGAGTTGCTTGAGGTTAACAATTCTGATATGAAATGTTCTGGGGATTTTTTTCCTTTAAAGCGGTTCTGTTCCTGCTTATGCTGTTATTGGAAAAGAGGCATGTTTTTGCTCAAACCATTAAGCTGCATCCACCCACAGTACTCGGAGTAGAAACAGATTTGAGACTCAGAGAAGATTGTGGTGGCATTTGCTGAAGAAAGACAATTCTCTCTCAGGTTCCAAAGTAAATTAGGTTGTGTGGATCTATCACAGGAGACTTATTTACCATGTATAGGTAGAAATACTTTTTCTTAATGGTAAAAAAAAAATAATCTTCTACGTGTGTAGTGACTCTGATGTAAGCATAGTGGATTTTTTATATAGCCTATGTCAAGGTTCAAAGAAATCAAGAGTATATGAAAATGGGTTGTAACACTTTTAGGATTTGTTTACTCTGAACAAAATGAAGAGGGAACCCCAGTCGAAAACCTGGGGTTTTCCCCTTCCACAAATGGTAAGCTAATCCACAAAGCAAACCAGAAACACTCATAAGTGAACAAAAGGAACAGACCTGAGTATTTGCAACACTAGTGTTGATTTAGGAACATCATTAGAATCACTTACAGAAAGACAGAATTAATTCATTTATTAAGGGATTAGTTGTGTCCATTGACTTGAAGAGATTCAGTGTAATTTGAAGTCAGTGCTTGAAATGCAGAATCAGTCCTGTTTGCTGTTCTCTATTTGTCCTGTTTTCCTTTAGTAGGCAGTCAGTGTCTATTATTGGTATATAAAATGGTTGTAGTGCAATTTAACATACATTCTGGATTTTTCATGCCAATTTATCCAAAAGGCAAATGAGCTGACAACTGTATTTCTAGTGATCTTTGCCTTTGAGTCTTGTATCAATGAAATTAAATCTATGGATCAGGAGAAAACACGGGAATACGATCCAGATTATCAGCTGCAAGTATGTCCCTGACAGCAAGGCTTGCAAGACAGCAAGACTAGCTTGCACCAATGCTATGGTTGGTTTTGCTTTTATTTAATTTTATTTTAAGTTGTAAGGATAACTCTTTCTGTGCAGAAATTGCACTGATTGTAGGTTTCTAAAGTGAAATGAAAAGGCCAACTCATTAGAAATTCCTCAGATTTCGAGGAAATCACTCAGGTTTTATCATAATTTCCCACAGATTTTTACTGTCTGCTCTGTGACCACAAAAACCAAAAGTATGTTCTGAAGTTCACAGCAGTTCATTGAGCATTACCCTGCATAATTCTGGGTGAGATTTTCAAAGGCACTTATTGGAGCTTAGTGGTAATACGATACAGGAATAGCTGTGCCATTGTACAAATGTCCTAGTGCGAGGAGCCCAGACACAGCCAAATTTACCCCATTCAGGAAAGCCAAAGAGGAACATATGATACTCTTTATATCCCATTTGACTTCTCAAAAGAGGCAAATTTCGGGTAGGCACAGTCCTGTCTGCCACCTTTGTAAAATATTCCTTCTTTTATTTCAGTTTTCTCCTTTTCATTTTTAGGAGACAAAATGATGAAAATGTGACATTAGAAACAATATGCCACGATCCCCGGGAAACACTCTATGATCATGTGTTGGATGACTCCAGCTCAGAGGAGTGTTTGATGAGAGAAAAGAAGGACAATGGGGGATTGATGTTCATGTGTTCCTGTACAGGTGAAGAATGCAACGATATGATAATTTTTCCATCAGGTAGGTTTAATACTCCTAGGCTATACTTTGCAAGTAATATTAACCGTGTCATATGCATGAACTTTGGAATCTCATTTTATGAGGGAAAACTTCTAGTGGCAGGAGGTATTTTGGTCTCTTCTGAGTCTTGCAAAATATCAACCTTTCTTTCTGCATTCAGAAAATATGTTTTCATGCCAGGATGTCCTCCCGTTGAAGTAAGTCTGATACTCAGCTCAAGACTTAAAAGTTGGTGAAAAGAAAGGTGGAAGCAACATGTTTAGAGTTGTGCTGTTGACACACCAAAATGCAACATGTGCTAATTACATTATAAAACGTAAACAAGAGGCAAATGCCATATTTAAAGCCTTGCCTCTTCTGAAAGGCTGCATTGCCATGGTATAGCATCTGTGTATACAGATACTACTGAGTAACTTGATAGGATATGAATTTAAATTTCTCTGTTGTAACTGACCAGCTGCACTTGTTCTGTGGTGGGTGTGAAGTAGCTAGAAGGTTCCTTCACTAGTGGATATGCCCCCACATGCCTACTACAGCACAAGGACATATATGTGAGTTCAGCTAAACCAGTGAACTCTGAGTACAGACCAAAGCCCAAGTGCATAACCTGTCCCGATTCTGCTTCATGTATACCTGTGTTGACCACTGCAAATACAGTAAAAGCAGAGCAGGAGTGTACAGTGCTGATGGGCCTCATGCTGCATGGACAGATGAGCATGTGTGCATGCACACACCTCATTTAAGTTTCTCATACCTGCTGGATCCCACAATGATTCTTTTACTGAGACTGAGTCAGGTGTCTCACAGGCAGGTGTGAAGCCTCCTGCAGAGAACCTCACGTGCACACTTCAAAATTAGTATGGCACACAACATCTGTCCTTATCACCTGCAAGTTCTTCAGAAAAGGATATATTCAAATCCTAATTATATGCAATAACAAAGGGTTGAGATACTGTTTTCACTCCTGGAAGCCTGGTGCATAACTGTACTGGGGTGGACAACTATGTGAATGCCTTTTAGCTCTCACTTCCCAGCCCTCCAAGAAGGCTAACTAGTTTGGGTTGCAAGACCAGAGGAACAAGCTAGAAAGTGTTTGCCTTCTTTGGCCCAGGCTGTCCATGTCCAGTGCCACCTCCTTCCTTCTTCCTCATGCCTTCCCAAAGCTCAATTTGAAACCAGACAACCTGACTGCCAATCCATGATGGTATGACCAACCCTTACTTGGGCCAGCTTTAAAGGAGTTGGAGTAAATACTGGTATCGATGTGAGCACATGTGATAGTCCCAGGAGTTAGATCTAATGTATTGCCTTGATTTTATTGAAGAGAATGTGTTCCTAGTGAAAAAATCTCACCGTGTCTAGAGCTTTTATACAAAACAAACCACAACCTTGTGGGTTTTGACTAATTTGTTATAAATTAGTCCCATTATAGCTGTTTCTCCTGGAGCTATGTAACTGAATATAATCATGCTGATGAATGTGTGTCTGTTTATGAAAACTGTATTATAAATTCAAGCCCAAGTGCCTTCATTCCCGTCAACTCTGCAGCCTCCCTCACACTTCCAGAACAGCCTAAAAGGAGCTGTAGTATAAATCAAAACCCAGTCTTCTATCCTAATTCCTTTCACTCTTCAGAGTAGAGCTTTTCCTTCTAGGTCATGTGCTGTAAACACTCTAGGTGACTCATGAAGACTATACCCCACATTCACATGTAGTAAAGTGACTAAGTACAGATAAAAATTAGTAATGTACAACTTCAGTTTATAATATTTCCAGTTCATTCACAAACATGAGCATTAACTCCAATTGGGAGGGGGGAAAAAAAATTGAAGTTTTGTCATTCCTTTTTGATTGTTGTGGATTAGTGTTTCTTTTAAATGAAAACAGCCCCTTCGGGTTGCTTGCCTGGTTAGCCATGGCAGGAAGACAAACGATTTTTACAGTATCAGACATGCGGTTTCCTGTCTGTGTTTAACTTTGAGCAGAACATCACAGCCAGCTGGTCCACAGCTCCTCCAGACAACTAGATAATAGCCTATAATAATTTTGCCTTTGGAATGAATGTCATCCAGATCTGTTCTATAAGTTGTTCTTGCCTTTTTTTCTCTCCATGTTTCTTGTACACAAGAGCAAGGATTTTTGCAGTGGTTTTGCACATCCTATAATTTTAGAGAATGGACAAAAGTGAGTTCAAAAAAAAAGCCTGATCAAAAAGTGACTGTACTAATTTACTAGCAGAAATTTATTAGATTGTAATTTTGCACCTGGTAATCACAGGCTTTCTTTTCAAGCTATTGCTATAAATGACCAGTGTTCCAGGTCTTCTTCCTTCGGGGTGCACACGTAAGACAGATCAGATTTAGTTTGTTCCTGGTGTTTCTGAGGTAAGAAGAAAAATTGTGGGTAAGGCAACAAGTTCTAATTTCCACCACAGGTTAGTCACTAAGGTTCAGTGATTCATGGCTGAGCTGTTATTGCTTATATAAGAGTTGGTGTGTTGCACTGTTGGCTGTTATCAGTCCTGACTGTGAAGGGTAAACCTCCTGACTCCAATTTTGGACACAAACATCTAAAGGTTTTGGGTAGTGGGAGGTGTTGTGACTCACAGAAATGTGGCTGTGGAAATGTTTGAAGTAGTTACATACAAATCAAATGCCTGTTTCTTGTATGGACTTTTGTTTAAATTGCCAATCCACAAAACAAGCAAGACACAGTCAAACATGTACCTAAACACACCTGTAATTCTGCTGTGTCAGGGGGCTTCTGACCCTGATTCATGTCCTTGGTGTTTCAGGCCACAGACTCAGGACAGGCCACAGCTGGTGTCAAATACTGTGTGCGTAGTTGATCCAAACAATGTTCTGTTGGTTTTGGTGAAATAATATACAGGAGACAGGTAGTCATTGCAAATCTGACTACTCTGTTTATTTTTTTAATCCCTCTTTTTTTGCCAAACAAAATTGTGACTTGCAAGCAACTTACATCCTTGTGGTGGAAAAATGCTTCTCATGGCAAAACTCAGTGCCAGTCTGTTTTAATTATTATTTATTCAAATGTCTAATGCCAGAGTTACCAGAAGGCAAAGCCAGGAAGCAAAGCCACTGGAAAAGATTAGCCAAATCAGGGGTTGGGGGGTAGGGGAAAGGCTGTGGCTGGCTAGAAGTTGGGTAAGTGGCAGGCAGAGGCCTGGTCCTGCTGTCATGGAAAAGATGTGTGCAGGACTGGACAACCAGAGGTTTTTTTCTCCCTAATGTCTACTTGTGTCTGATGAGTCTTCTGCATCTTGCTTTGCCTTCTTATGTTTTGACCTGTTGTGCTGAACTAGGTCTGTTTGTAGCTGTATGCACTGTTCCAAGCCTCCCTATTCATCAGCCAATGCAAGCATGACAAATGCCTGACAAAGTTCTCCTTTGTTAACAATCTCAACTATTTGACTGAGGTCAAAGCTTGTTTACCCAAAGGGACCAAGTAGGACTGTGCTCTTTCCAGCCGGCCTGACCTGTTCTCTGTGCACAGATGTGACCAGGCACTCATTGTAGTGAGGAAATGGGATGCCTGCATGTTCCTCAGCGCATGACCTACCTGCTGTGCAATGCAACTTCTTCCTATTGTCCAGGCTCATTGAGACACATTCATTCAGTGACATGCAAAAGGGTGACTCCAGCACTGGGGACTGCAGACAGGAAAACAAATCTTTTAAGTACCATTGCTGTTACATATGCATATATAGAAATATATGCATATAAATATACATGGGAATCAAGTTCAAATCCAGGAAAAAAATGCAGCAGTGTCAAAATGTGGAAATAGAATTTTCTGACCTGTAGCACAACTCTGGTTTAGAGTTGTTTAATTCTGATAACTTAGATGGTGATAATTTTTCATCCTCATCTATCTTGCCGTGCTGAGGAGATATCCATGGAGCTTGCAACTGAGGAGTCTGTGGCATTATTCATGTAGGCTGTGTTTATTTGCCATGAAATGCAAGGTGAGGTCATTATTTTGGGCATTCCCACCACACCCCTTCCTAACACGGGCAAAACCTTTAGCAGCAACAATGTGTACAAATTTTAATAACTGAATCATCCAGACAGTTGCCTTGAAATACAAAACTTAAGTGATAGACATGACTGATGGGTCAAAAAGAGTTTACGAGAATAATAAAACTAACTAGGGAAATGTGTCAGAGTGGAGAGGATGTTATGCTGCTAACAATCTTCACATTGATCCTGGTTTTACTGCTAATTGAGAGTGTAAGAGACAAGTATTTGATTAATCAGTTGTGTCTGAGTCATTTACCCAAACAAATTACAGCCTATGGATTTGCAGTGTCTCAGGTGCTGTGATTACTCACTGTGTACAGTTGTTACCTGGGAGACCTGGTATTGTTCTTCTGCCTGAACCACCACAAGCATGCCTGTGTGTTGACTTGTCTTGTGCCCAGATTGTGCAGGAGATATGGATAATGTTTGAGAGTTTTCTTAACTTGGTATCTCTCCCTTGTCTCTAACGTGTTGCCCCTGTCTTTTCCTTTCTTTCCTCTTCCTCTCCTTACTAGAGTCAAAGCATTAGTGATTTTACTTGACTACATAGGAGGATCTCAGACTTAAGAGCAGACTTAAGATCTGTGCACAAACAGCTGCCAGGCCATAAATACTCATGAGGTGAGTTGTCCAGTGCTCAAGGAACAGCAGAAGGGAGATGATTACAGCTGGAGTGCTTCCAAGTGGATTTTAACAAAGGCTTTCATTAATCTGCTTTTCTGTTCTCCAACTAACATGTTCAGAAGGTAACTGTCTTCCAGCTGCCCCATAAAAGAGGTCAGTAGCATTTACATAACGTTGCACAGAGCCTCTTAGAGCTTGTATATTGGCATTGTTCTCTACGTTTCCTCTTAGGCATTTGCAGCCACAAGAGTCCCACCCAATGCCTGCAGCTGTGTGTAGCCAAGGAAGAGCCTGTCTAATACTGAATGTCTGATTCACTTAGTGGGATAGAAA